ATTAAGTATTATTATGTTAGCTATAATTTTTTCATAAATGGGTTGAGGGAGTTCCCACATATTGCTCTTGAGTGGATATTGAATTTTCTCAAGTGCTTTTTTAGTATCAATTGATTTGATTGTATTTTTTCTTTACACTATTACATTGGATTAAGAATGGTTTTAGAATTTTGAAACATGTATATCTTCCCCTTGATCCCAAACTTGGTCTTAGTATGTATATATATATATATATATATATACACACACACCTCAGTTTATGTACAAAGATTAATTTATTGAGGATTTGTGTCTCTATGTTCATTTGGGATATTCAAGTTTTTTTTTTCTTTATCTTGACTTGGTATCGTGTCAATTCTGTTCGTATACAACAAACTGGGAAGTGAGTGGTTCTTCAGCTTTCTGCGAGAGATTTATAGAATTTGCATTCTTTTAAACAATGAATTCAGTTTTTAAAAATAATTATAGACCATACTCAGGTTGTTTCATTCCATATCTAACTCTACGTGCATAGTTCCTCAAGGTATTGTCTTAGTGTCTTTTATTATTTCCAAATCTCTATTGGTATCTCCTTTTTCATTCCTAAAATTGGTAGTTTTTTTTTCTTTTGAGACAGAGTCTTTGTTGCCCTCAGTAGTGCTGTGGCGTCATAGCTCACAGCAACCTCAAACTCTTGGGCTCAAAGGTTTCTCTTGCTTCAGGCTCCCAAGTAGCTGGGACCATAGGCCTAAGATTAGTAATTTCTCTCCCTTTCTTTTTTTTGGTCCGTTTTGCTAGAGCTTTATCAATTTTACTGCTGTTTTCAAAGAACTAGTTTTGCTTTTTGTTGATTTTTCTCTATTAATTTGTTTTCAGTTGCATTGATTTTTCTCTCTCCTGATTTATTACTTTCTTTCTGCTTGCTTTGGGTTTAGTTTGCTTTTTTCCCAGTTTTTTTTTTTTTGAGACAGAGCCTCAAGCTGTCCCCCAGGGTAGAGTGCAATGGCATCATAGCTCACAGCAACCTCCAACTCCTGGGCTCAAGCAATCTTCTTGCCTCAGTTTTTCTATTTTTAGTAGAGATGTGGTCTCACTTTTGCTTAGGCTGGTTTCGAACTCATGAGCTCAAGCAATCCACCTGCCTCAGCCTCCCATAGTGCTCCATCA